CTTCTTTTTGAAACAAGGTCTGAGTAATTTTGCTCAGGCTGGCCTCGAACTGATGATCCTACTGCCTCAGTCTGCACACTAGCTGGAAGCCCTGGCATAAAACATCACAGCTGGTAATTTCTCTTCCCAATCTGATTGCCCTCGTACTCTAACCAAGACTTACTGATTTTCCTGTTGATAACATAATCTAGCTGCTGTTACAGTAACATAATCAAGGAGAAAAGAAGATACCAAGTGGTTGTCTATAGAATACAATTTGCAGCATGTAGCTGCAAGGTACCATATAACATTTTTAAAAGCATATACTGTCACTCCTTTTCTACATTCACTAGTTACACTGAATGTAATAGATGCCTAATAAAAATGTGACTTTTTTGCATTAAAAAGAATATTGTTTTCAACCAGTCACTTCTTTGGAAAATGTTTTTAGACCAAAACTACTGGGCCCTTCTGCTTCATTGGTACATAGGAGGAAAATAATCAGAATTAGTGTTATCTATCATAGGCATAATAGTATATATTAGATATTACAGTCATGTATGGATTTTTAATAAATGTACTCTAATGCAGTCATTGTTTTACCTGGTATTCTATCATACTTTAAGGTAAGCTATCATCCTGAGCTAAATTTTTCAAATTGATATATACCAATCTCAGTAAAATCATGAATTCTAATAAAAGATATGTGAAAGAGGAAAGCAGCCATCATCTCTACATAAAAGTTATATTTACTGGGTAATCCTTACATACTTTATTAATAATATCATTAATCTCATATATAAGGGTTTTATTTGTTTAGTAGCTTTGAACTCATGATCTTATTTCTGCCTCCCAAGAGCTAAGGTAACAGAAGCACACCACCAGCTAACCTTATGAGTATTTTAAGGAATTATTTGTATTTGTTATCTATGTCCAATATTCTCAGCTGTTTTTTTCACTTTAGTTCCAAAGAATATTAGTTTAATATGGCTAAAAACAAAGTGCTTGATAAACATTCACTAATTATGTGAAGAATTGGTTTAAGAAGAAATCATAGTGTATATCAACCAATTACAAGCCAGAAAGGCACAGCACACTGCTCAACTGTCTCTCCTCCTTTTATCTTCTCTGGCTACTTTGCTAAAAGTTTATACAGTTAGAAAATGTTAAGTACATTCATTTCATTTCCACAACAATCCTGTGGGGAAGGGGTTATCATTTTAAACCTCATTTAACAAATTAAGAAAACTAAAGAACAAAAATATCCCTGAAATTAGGTAAAGTGACATGTCACTAAGCAGCAGAACATGTACCTAAACCTAGACAGTCCTGCTCCAGCATCAGAAATTTCAAATCCTAATACACAAACAATAGAACTGGAGTCTTGTAAAATTCAGGTTGTGGTTCAGTTCTGGTTACAGGGAAGGAATATGCTGCATTTCTCTCTCATCTGTGATTCAGGTCTAGCTCTTCTTCAGATCACACTGCCAGTAGTAGCAAGCTCTAGTCTACCACTGAAAATAGAGGGAAGTATATATACCTTTAGAAGGCAGAGTTCATTTTCAATTAAGATTATGGTTCTGACAACTTCTTGTTTACAACAACCACTTTCTACTTTTTAAGGATTACATTAACAAAATTTGCAAACACCAGATTTCAGGTTTTACTTGTCAATGTATTATTAATTCTATTGAGTTAAAATGGTAATACCTCTGATATCTAAAAGCTATTTTGAAATATCCCTAGATAATACATACCTTACCATAGATTCAATTGAAACACATTAAAGAAAACTTTAGAAATATACATGTGACTTTTCATATATGCAGAAAATTTAGGACAAGTTAGAAATCCAGAACCTTGCTAAAATCCTGTAATTTGCACACTGTAAAAAAGGTAAGGATACCCTTTACGAAACTGATTGTGACATTTGTCTTAAAACACATTACTTAACAATTGTAGTCAATATCAGAGAAATGCCTACAACACACTTTCTCTTCACTCATTGGTATACCAATTATTTATATCTGAACCCAAAATACATGATAGAAAGACTACAAACTTAAACCAATAAGTAAAAATTATACTTATGAATTGTGGCACATGTCTGTAATTCTAACACATGTGAAGCTAAAGCAGATGGATTCCAAGTTCCACAGAGTGGAACCTGGAGCTACACAGTGAGACCTCCAATAAATAAATAAATAAATAATTGGAGTGTCTTTATCATTTTTTTACTATTAGAAAAAGAAATTATCCTATCAAATTATAATCAAAATATTTAAGGCCATATACTTAACATCCCAAGATCACCCTAGGTGATGAGAGATAACTATATAGGCTAAAGACTATTAATTTTAAAAAAGGAAGGAATTTGTGAGAAATCTTTCAACTTTGGTAATATTAGTTCTGCTTAGTTTTCCTCTATTTCATTCAACATTTTCCTGTATACACAGATATACTTTACATTTGTTCAATGAAGAGAAATTAAGTCCATCCATACTTTAACCAGGTAGGAAAAATCAGATCCAAAACCATAATGAAATTCTGATTAAATAACTACACATGGAAGTCAAAAGTATTAGGTTTCATAGATCACAGACAATATGAAATCACATATTCTAAATGTACTTATAAATTTGAGATACCATTTTAATTATAGCCTGTAAGTTTACACTATATAATCACCATAAAACTAAGAATTCTCATTCAAGTACCTACAGATTAAAAGAACACAGACCACAATCTATCACAGATCTGACACAAGGTAAAAATACAAAGTGTTTCTGTCAAAATGATAAAATGCTTCCATTATACATTCAATATTCCAAATTCCTCTTTAGGACAAAGACAGACCTTCTACCAAAAAGAATCTTAAGAAATTTACATATGAAGCACACTCCCCCAAAAAAGAGCCTACTCCCCCAAATAATATGAAATTCTAATTCTTTACAAAGGTTTACATACATATTTTTATCACTTAAACAGCTACAAAGAAACCCAGTTACTAAAGAACTACATAAGTAAAAGGTGTCATCAGCAACAACTGACAATCCTCAGAGGTATGATAAAAGAAAAACAAATGAACATTCCAGGTTATTGTGCAGAAGTAAGGCCACAGTTTCACAATTTTACTATTCTAATCACATTATTTCACAGACTTAACTTGGCATATGAAGCAAAAAATACAGGATGAGTGAAACTTTCTCTAAGTAAGATTCTACTTCCTCTAAAAAAAATCCTTGATGACTGTGGAAAAGCTCCTAAACTGAACACTGAGAGTATATTTCTATACAAACTGCACCACAAGACAACTGTTCAGAGGGATTCAACACATGCCTTGCTCTGTCAATTCACTTATTTGTACCATTTGAGAAAATCAACAGAACCTTAACAAAATGTTTGACATCACACACAATTTTAAAACATTTGCCAGTTTCGAACTGATAGATCATTACATCCTTCACAATGGAAAACAGAATACACCTTGCTAGGTAATTGATTCTTCCAAAAAGCAAAATGAACTTGACCTCCTTAAATGACTGAAGATTTGACATATCATTTATAAGGCTGAAACAAATACTTTGATTTACTTGTTCTCTACAGAAGCATTCTTAAACAAAAATAGAACACAGCCACAAATGTAATTTAAGTTTCCTAGACACTAAACTAAAATGGTCAAAAAGGAAATACCAAATTTAGCAACACAATACTACAAGTTTAATTCCACAATATTATTATTTCAATGCATAATCAAGATTCTTAAAATTCGATATTCTTTTTACTACACTAAATTTTCAAAATCCAATGTGTATTTCCTATTTTTAGCCTATGTCACTTCAGACTAGCCACAACTGAAATGGTCAACAGCCAGATGTGGCTGGAGGCTACATTACTGAACACAATTCCTAAGTAATACTTTGATTTGACATACCGTGATCTGTTTATAGTTAGTTCACAATCATGTCTGCTAAGCTGAATAGCTGTGACTACAACATAAGCAAAGCTGCTAATCCACTGGTAACTCAGGATCGGATCACCTCATATGAAGATCTGGTTACCACACATAATAAGACACAAATAAATTACACTCTAGTATGTCTTCATAAAATTGGACTTCAGAGACGATTCTGATTAACACAAGTGAACACAATTTGTAGAAAAACCTGAGACACCAAAAATATATCAAACACAACATTGCCTTAATTCTAGCAGCTACTCTCATTTTTGCATACCTATCGCTATGCCAATTATTTACAATATTGCTCTAAATTTGTTGAGCTTTGTAAGCTACATGATCACTATGCAAAAGTAAGCAGTGTACTATAGAATATAAAATGAAAAAAATGTTGAGGAAAAAAATTATCAACTAGATATTTTTAATACATCTTATGCCAGTGCCAGTCAGCCATCCAAAATTAAGTGAGTTTCACTAGAATTCTCCCCTTCTTAAAATTTCAACATACTTACTGCTTATTAAGAATTTTCCCAAGTAATTAGAATATTTGCCGAAAATGTAAATAGTTCCAACAATGCACACTCTAGAAAACACCATTAGCTTAGCATATAAAACTTGTCCTTAAGGCAAGTTTTGAATAGATCAGAGACAACTACACAACGTTTGCTGCATTTACATTTTGTAACAACACACTCAGCTATTTCTAAATTTGGAAGTTCAGTTTAAATTGTACACAAGTTACTTTAAAATTTAAATTTTTAGAAGTTATAGCACTGCACTTGTGAATATACATGTTCTATAGAAATACAAAGAAAAATCAACACCATTTCATACTGCCACCAAAAAACACAAAATCATTATATTCACAAATCTATAATATATGATTCAAAGAGTGTTTTTTTCTTGAGTTTTATTAAATTCACCTAGTCAGTTTTTGTTTAATGCGCTTGCAAAGCAAGCAAACACAGCTAGCTTTACCTGCTGTGCACACTGCAGACACAATCATTAATCTCTTAATATTTTTTTCACAATTAGAATTCAAAAAAAAGATTCATTTCTTTACCTGCAGTTTGGAGGAGGATCAAGGGTTATTTCGGCTAGTTCCTTCTGAATTCTGTTAGTGAAATGAGAACAGACAAAAAGGATTTGAGAGAGTCTACAGAATAACCGGGGAATTACACTGCCCTCTACCACCAAGCAGTTAAATGCAAGGCTGGCTTTGCCTTCAGTAATGCTAACATGGCTGCTTCCTCTTTGTTCTCAGAGGCATAACCCAAATCCCTTAACAGAAACTTTACAGCTTTTTTTCCTCAGTTGCTACTGTAAAAGTAAGTCATTTACACCTGATTTGAGAAATAGTACAACATCACTACTCAGTAAAGGATATAAAATCTATTTGAAAACACTTTTTACCAAAGAAATTCTCTTTTCAAGCTTATATGCAAATAAGACAAAAAGGGAGGAGGGAAAACACAATATTTGACAATGACTTCAAGTAACTTTTACACAGGTAAAAATTAACAAGCTAACAAAACCTTAATGGTTTTTTTTATCTGTCAAAAGAAAGTTTGAAATTTACAAATATCTTTACCAATGAAAAACTTACAGACTATCTGATATTCTTATTTAACTATGACTGTTTCTTTGACCTTAGGAACACCATTCAAATTTTATACATTTAGGGGAGAAGAGAATAAGATATATAGCCTCGAGTTAAGGGGCAAAAACTGTTCTGGTTTTATATGCTTTAAAAATTTAAGACATGTTTCATTCATTTGTACACAAAATTACAACAAATTAAGGACTTTAAAATTACTCTGAATACTGCTGTTGCTCAGTAAAAGGTTTTGTATTAATAACTGATTAAAAGAGCAGAATGGCAAAAGTAATCTGAATCACTGTACAATGAAACATCTGATCAGTTTTTGTATTTTCCTTTCATATGTCAGGAAAAATGACAAAAGGTAGACAGTAGTTAATGCTGTACACACACTTCATATACAATCACTACTTCTACTAGACAATTCAACACTACCACCAAAGGAGTCCCAGTGACAATCTTTTTTTTGTCAACACACAGAATAAGTCAACAGGAAACAAATGATCTTTCACTTATACCCAACAAAATATGTTTCTCCTGATGTTGAGTAGTAATGTGTCAAGTATATCCACAAGTTTGGGAGAGAAGAGGAAGGCATAAAAGACAATGTACGTTTTCAATCATCAAGTGACATCTAAAATTATTAATGGCTACTTTTCACTTTTATTTGCCCTAACAATGAGGCAGGTTAGTCGTAAATTAACTACAGAAAGGTCTGCCTGTGATTCAGGAATTAAAGTCTTGTTTGTAAAAATGTAGGCAAATTTAAAGCACAATTTAAAGTGTGCTTTCAAAAACAGCCAAGGCCTTGGCATTTACAAATTTTCTGGCAAATGTAATAATTTCTGAGCATTAAGTTTTACATAGAGATATTACTGATCTCCAGATGTGTCAATTTCACTGGAAAGTGTGACTTACAAAAAGAAACATCTCCAATGTACCCATCCAATTTGGGTTCACTGAAATTTCCTTGTCAATTCTTCATCTGTCAGAATATTATTTTAATCTCTACTAGAGGACACTATGCATCATGTTACCAACACACAGAATAAGTTTCTTAAAAAGTATAGTTCTATGGAGGTCGCTATATGCCACCTAAAGAATGACAACTCACTCAAGTACACATAAAATTAGTGGGAAACTATTCCTGAACTATTGCTACTGATGCAAAATCAGGGAAAGGGACCAATGGCTTGGAAGACTAACAGTGTGCTTAGCCCTCATTTTAAACATTACCTTTTAGCACTAGTGGATAACTTAGCAGTGGTTTTGCTAGAGAGTTTGGTGTTTTTCTTCTGCTGAGTGGCAGAGGGTTTTCTTTCTTCCTGTTCTTCAGGCTCTGGAGCGGCTGGGTCTCTCTGGTCCGCATCTGAACTGCCACTGCTGGTACTGGGGCTCTCATCATCGGACCTTTGCCTATCACTGGACATTTTGGTGAAGTGATCGCTTGGAAAACTTCTAAAGGGAAAGGAGGAGGAGAGGGGAGGTGTTAAACCTAAGAGATGAACCAACAGTGTTGTTGTTTTTTTCTTCCCTTAATATTTACCTACAATCCTATTTAAAAGGCTTCAGAAGTGTTCTCCCTTATTTCGTGGTAAGACAAGGTTACAGGGGCGGTGAGAGGTCTTCCCCAGGTTTCCAGCATGCTGGGATTTACCCAACGCAAGTTAGAAAACCCACTCACATTTGTTTTTTCCATCCCTTTCACCATCTATCAATTGTCTACTTTCTCAGAAGGCATGAAACAGATTTGCCAGGGAACTTAGGCAGCAAGCATTAATAACATATGACAGGCTGTAAATAACAGATCTCGCTGAAAAATGTTAAAAAGAAAAGTCACTCCTCACGTCTAAATATTTACAGACTGACATTGGTCAGAGGTACCAAATTCCCCTTCCGCGGGGAAAACATCCCCCGTTAATCACCCATATGCTCACTGGAGGTGGCGGCTCCGGCTCCAGGCACGTACAGCCTTTAAACACGCCACTTGGAATTAAAAGAAACCAGCCAGCGAGCCGCCCGCCCTCCGCCGTTCCCCCGGCCGG